AATAGTCTACAGAACAAACCATCGTTATGTAATAACTTGCCTAATTACCCTAACCTGCCTAGTTAACCTAATTAACCTAGTTAAGACTTTAAATGCCACTTTAAGCTGTAAAAAATGTCTAGTAAAATATTATTTACTGTCATCATGGCAAAGATAAAATAAATCAGTTATTACAGATGAGTTATTACAACTACTATGATTAGAAATGCGTTGAAAAACAACAGTATACTTGACCTTTCAGGAAAGACCTTCTTAAATGGTCACAGGTACACAGAGGTGGGGCAAATATCTATATAAAAGCAGGATCATGGACACATACATTTCGGATGGTCTGGGGGGAAACTTCAGGTTGTCCTGAAGGGTTTTTTTTTTTAGACATTTCAACTTTGTTTCGATAAAGTCTATTTTTCTGGTATTCAAAAACTCCAGCTTGATCATGGTTAATGAATGGAAAGGCAGGGTAACTACGACACTCAGTACTGGGCTGGAAGGGCATCTGCTGCATTAAACAAATGCTGGAATAGTTATCGATTCATTTCGCTTTGGCAAACCCTGATAAATAAGGGGACTTATTAAGTGAATGAGTTTCTCTCTTCTTTTGAACACTAAAGAAAACCAGTCAATAACCTCTGAAAATGAAAATGTGCTGTGATTTACGGATTGGCTCCACATCCTGTCCCTACAAGCATGTGCTTTTGCGCTGTGTAAACAGTCCAGTCAGAGCAGCTGTTAGCAGCTTTAGCTGCCTGAATCAGACAGGAATGAAAAGCACTCAGCTGAACCTCACACCTGCACTCTAAAATAAAATCTGACAAGTGTCTTTTATATTTAGTCAGAATAAGCATGAATAAGTAATATGAGGAGTTCACATATCTTTTGCGAGTTTGTTATTTGAGATGTTTAACACATGGAAAGCATCAGCATAGAGAGACACTGCAGCGCTGGTGAAGATTGTGTATGTGTTTACAGCGGTTTGACTGATAAATTGAATTTGTAGCCAAATTGTTAGCGGTGCCAAACAGCATTTCCCATTGTTTACATGCTTGTTTTACATCCGCACTACAACCTACCATTAACGCAAGAAACTGTGCCTGTGGTTGATCAATTTTAACAAATAAAAACACTTACATGTTGTGGCTCACAATCCACAGCTTCATCGGTTGGAGGAGTTTTAGCCGAATCCAGCACTAAACTGGGATAGATTCTGGAAGCTCTTCTTTATTAAATGTTACAGTAGCTATATCTTTTTTAATAATTCTTTGGAACATAATTCAAATTAAACTGTAAGCACTTCTCTCTTTGTGTCGTGTTCTTTGGAAGCCAAATACAGAAACAGAAGAAGCTCTGTGGAAATAGCAGCGTTTGGACGCCATTTTAGCTTTCTGTGCAATAACATTACAGCACCCTGGCCATGCCCCTTTAAGGCTGATTTATACTTCTGCGTCAAACACCAGCGTATGCTACGGCGCTGACGCATAGCCCTTCGCCGTGGCCATCGCCGTCACTGACGTGCACCTCTCAAAAAATGTAACTACACGTCGCAACGACGCGTAGCGTAAGCTCTGTGATTGGTCGGCTTGGTAGCGCTGACGAGTCGAGGCGGGACCAAGAGCCGCGCGAATGGCGCGAACCCAATGTAGCGATTGTTTAGAAGTGTGGAGTCCCGTGAAGGAGCTCCAGATGGAAAGTTTTGTTTTGTGCTTACCTCATAGTTAAAGTTGCTGCACGTCCGCCGGTTCCTGCCTAAAATGAGCGAGTTTGAGCCACTTGTACATCCTGGAAGTGTTCAGGAAAAGCAAAAAAGCAGCGAAGAAACTCGACACAGAGGAACATTAACACCTCACTGCCAACTAGCGTTTCAGAAGTGTTAATGCAGACCAACAGAGACAGCGCGCAGAAGTATAAATGCACAGCAACGGGCGTTGCCTGCGCCGTGGGTTACGCCGGTCACTTGACGCAGAAGTATAAATCAGGCTTTACTGCGCAGCATGTGTGCACGTAGTAAATGCATGTAACAGGAAGCCCTTGTGATCTCACTAGACCAGATGTATTGTTTTGTAGTCCCCAAACTTGGTTTGCTGTAGCCTTTGCTAAGCTAACTCTGTAAAAGCCGATGTCTCTCTTTGCATTGAACTTTGAGCATCTTACATTCAGAGATGTTGTTTATGTTCACACAGCAACATTACACATCAACTAAAATTTAACATATGATATCGTAGTGACCACCTCGTTAAACAAACAAAACATAATTTTTTTTGAGTGCATTCAGGTACAGAAATTGAATAATTTTTGACAAATTTCAAAGCATTTTCCCAAAAATCTGTCAAAGTAAGATTTGGCACCAAAATTATTTCATTTGCTGAAACACAGAGAAAGTTATGGCCAAATTAAGACTCGAAATCACATCAGAGTGGATGAAAACATCCCCAACAGCATATAAAGGTTCATTTTAAAAAATGAGAGGGAGGAGCAACTCAATTACCCAAGTCCTACCCTGTCTTCCTGTTTCAGTGGAAATTACGTGACACACTAAACAAACTGCGGGCTTTATGGCACTTCAGGGGACCTTTAAATTCACATTAGAGACTTGCTTAGGAATTAAGTTTATTACCGATGTGCCCCCAGGTTGATGCAGCTGATGCCGAGGTTGTATCTGGAGCGAATGAAGCCTGGCTGGAGCTCCAGGGCTCTGGTATAGGCCTCCACCGCTTCTTCACTGCGGTCCCCATTTGCCAGCGTGGCCCCGAGCCGATTCCACAGCAGATAGTCCTACATAAACACATGACAGAGTAATCTAGGACAGCCCTATCGCAGAACTCTGATATAAACGAGGTGAATAGTGCAAGTATGTAAATAATAATGATTCTAGATTTGCTAGTATGATGTTGTGTTAATTACAAAGCAAGCTACAGAACACTGAAAGCAGGTAGCAACAGTGCTATAGAGCAGCACTGCATCACTGGGTATCATTACCAACAGTGACATCTGCTATTACAAACTAACCTAGAGCGCCATCTGCTGTTGAAAACTACTCTACAGCACCATCTGCTGTCAACTACCCTAGAGTTAAAAGTACTGTTAAAAAGCTCAGAATCAATTCAAGAGAGAATAGTGAGACATTTCGATGCAGAACCAATTTGAGCGCTTGATTGAAAGGTTAAAAGCTAGTTAAACGCCATCTGCATTTAAAAAATAAGCCTAGAGCGCCATCCTCTGTTAAAAACTAGCCCTAAAGTGCCATCTGCTGCTAAAAACTAGTCCTATAGCGCCATCCTGTTAAAATCTAGCCTTATAGTGCCATCTGCTGTTAAAAACTAGCCCTATAGCGCCATCTGCTGTTAAAAACTAGCCTTATAGTGCCATCTGCTGTTAAAAACTAGCCTTATAGCGCCATCTGCTGTTAAAAACTAGCCTTATTGTGCCATCTGCTGTTAAAAACTAGCCCTGTAGTGCCACCCTATGTTAAAAACTAGCCCTATAGCACTATCCACTTTTAAAAACAAGCCTAGACACAATCCAATGTTAAAAACTAGCCCTATAGCGCCATCCACTTTTAAAAACGAGCCCTATAGCACCATCTGCTGTTAAAAACTAGCCCTATAGCACCATCTGCTGTTAAAAACTAGCCCTATAGCACCATCTGCTGTTAAAAACTAGCCCTATAGCGCCATCCGCTGTTAAAAACTAGCCCAATAGCGCCATCCGCTGTTAAAAACTAGCCCTATAGCGCCATCCGCTGTTAAAAACTAGCCCTATAGCGCCATCCGCTGTTAAAAACTAGCCCAATAGCGCCATCCGCTGTTAAAAACTAGCCCTATAGCGCCATCCGCTGTTAAAAACTAGCCCTATAGCGCCATCCGCTGTTAAAAACTAGCCCTGTAGCGCCATCCGCTGTTAAAAACTAGCCCTATAGCGCCATTCGCTGTTAAACACTAGCCCTATAGCGCTATCTGCTGTTAAAAACTAGCTTGCAACACCATCTGCTGTTAGATACTAGACCTACAGTGCCATCTGCTGTTAAAACTAGCCATATAGCGCCATCTGCTGTTAAAACTAACCTAGAACACCATCTGCTGTTAAAAACTAGCCTAGAACACCATCTGCTGTTAAAAACTAGCCTACAGCGCCATCTGCTGTTAAAACTAGCCATATAGCACCATCTGCTGTTAAAACTAACCTAGAACACCATCTGCTGTTAAAACTAACCTAGAACACCATCTGCTGTTAAAAACTAGCCTAGAACACCATCTGCTGTTAAAAACTAGCCTAGAACACCATCTGCTGTTAAAAACTAGCCTAGAACACCATCTGCTGTTAAAAACTAGCCTTCAGCGCCATCTGCTGTTAAACTAGCCATATAGCGCCATCTGCTGTTAAACACTAGCCCTATAGCGCTATCTGCTGTTAAAAACTAGCTTGCAACACCATCTGCTGTTAGATACTAGACCTACAGTGCCATCTGCTGTTAAAACTAGCCATATAGTGCCATCTGCTGTTAAAACTAACCTAGAACACCATCTGCTGTTAAAACTAACCTAGAACACCATCTGCTGTTAAAAACTAGCCTTCAGCGCCATCTGCTGTTAAAACTAGCCATATAGCGCCATCTGCTGTTAAAACTAACCTAGAACACCATCTGCTGTTAAAAACTAGCCTACAGCGCCATCTGCTGTTAAAATTAGTCATATAGTGCCATCTGCTGTTTAAAAACTAGCCCTAGAGTGCCATCTGCTGTTAAAAACTAGCTTAGAAAACCATCTGCTGTTAAAAACTAGCTTAGAAAACCATCTGCTGTTAGATACTAGATGTATAGCGCCATCTGCTGTTAAAAACTAGCCTAGAACACATCTGCTGTTAAAAACTAACCTAGAATACATCTGCTGTTAAAACTCGCCTTTAATCGCATCCTAAAATCATTGAGCTGATTTCTTGAAGGATTTTTCACCACAGCTCTGAGCCCTAATATCCACAACATCCTGAGCTCCTGAAAGTCCTGCAAAACAATGCTCACCTCAGGTCGGATGGACAGTGCAGCATTGAAGGCGATCACAGCTTTGTCAAACTCTGAGCTGAGGTTGAAGAGGACCCCCAGGCCCGTCTGGAGATCAGGGTCCACCTCTTCAGTGTTCAGCTGCACCGCTTCCTGATAAAGCTCCAACACCTCCACCAGCTGAGAACTGCACATGGTATCAGAGTAAACACAAGTAGTTACTTTACTGACGTACACTTTTGGCTACTTTTGAACTTGATGGGGAGAAAACTCCACACAGAAATGTCAACTGGCCCAGCCGGGACTCAGCAACCTTCTTGTTGTGAGGCGACATGATACCACTCAACCTTTATTAGTTATCCCATAATGTTTTAAGAAAACTAGTGTTAAAAATCATACCATCCCAGTGTGGAAATGCGGGAGATGGAGGAGCCTCTGCGGCGGGGCAGTGGCGAGCCATCTAGAGGGCTGCGGTCCTGGAGCAGATGGCTGTATCTGGGGTTGTATCTGATCCAGCGATGGAGAGCCTCACATGCCTCCGGCTGCTGCCCGGTGTTGGTCAGGCTCACCGCCAGGGCCATCAGGGCCTTCAGATTGTTTGGGTGCAGCTCCAAACACCTATTTGAACAAGGAAACACACACACACACACACACACACACCAAACATGGCAGAATAAGCCAGGGGATGACTGATGTGAGGAAGTGAGAGGCTCTGTTTTGCGAATGGTCCAACACCTCTTTTGATTACTTCTGATTAAAGCAGCTATGTGAGTTTGGGCAACACGATCTGTTAATCCAAGAAATGGTGCACAAGGGAAGTGTTCTGAAAATACCGTTTCGCCTACGTCTGCATTCTGAGCAGTTTATGATATTGAGCTTTAAAAGGTTTTGCGTTACATAAAGCAAACTACTAACTACAAACTAATAACTGATTTATTTTATGTTTGTCCTGATAACAGTATATTATATGACATGTGACATTTAAAGGTGGTTAATTAGGCAAGTTAGGGTTATTTTGTCATGTATAATGAGGGTTTGTTCTGTAGACAATCGAAGAAATGTATTGCTATTAAGGTGTCGTTATTGACATCTACACCTTCCTCAACCCATAACCCAACCATCACAGTTATTAATGTCTACACCTCCCCAACCCGTAATCCATCCATCACAGTTATTAATGTCTACTCCTTCCCCAACCCGTAATCCATCCATCACAGTTATTAACGTCTACACCTTCCTCAATTCTAAATCCAACTATCACATTTGTATACTAACATCTACACCTACCTTAACCGTAATCCAGCCATCATCGTTATTAATGTCTACACCTTCCCCAACGCCAAACTCAACTATCACAGTTATTAACCTCTACACCTTCCCCAACCTGTAACCCAACCATCATTGTTTTTAACATCTACACCTTCACTAACACTAAACCCAACTATCAGCTATTAACGTCTACACCTACCTTGACTGTAATTCAACCATCATCGTTATTAATGTCTATACCTTCCCCAACGCTAAACCCAACCATCATTGTTATTAACGTCTACACCTTCCTCAACGCTAAACCCAACCATCATCGTTATTAACGTTTACACCTTCCTCAATGCTTAACCCAACCATCATCATTAACGTCTACACCTTCCTCAACGCTAAACTCAACCCTCACAGTTATTAACGTCTACAACTTCCCCAATGCTAAACTCAACCCTCACAGTTATTAACGTCTACACCTTCCTCAACGCTAAACCCAACCATCATCGTTATTAACGTCAACACCTTCCTCAAGGCTAGACCCAACCATCATCGCTATTAACGTCTACACCTTCCTCAACGCTAAACCCAACCATCGTTATTAACGTCTACACCTTCCCCAACCCTAAACCCAACCATCATCGTTATTAATGTCTACACCTTCCTCAACGCTAAACCCAACCATCATTATTAACGTCTACACCTTCCCCAACCCTAAACCCAACATCGTTATTAATGTCTACACCTTCCTCAACGCTAAACCCAACCATCGTTATTAACGTCTACACCTTCCTCAACCCTAAACCCAACCATCATCGTAATTAACGTCTACACCTTCCTCAATGCTTAACCCAACCATCATTGTTTTTAACATCACACCTTCCCTAACGCTAAACCCAACCATCAAAGTTATTATTGTCTACACCTTCCCCAATGCTAAACTCAACCCTCACAGTTATTAACATCTACATCTTCCCCAACCCATAACTCAACCATCACAGTTATTAAAGTCTACACTAAACTGTGATGGTTGGGTCAAGGGTTGGGTTATTTACGTAGCTGCGAGTTTCGGAGGCTTTTCAAACTTATGTATATATATATACACACACACAGTTGAAGTCAGAATTATAAGCCCCCCTTTAATTTATTTCTTCTTTTTTTAAATATTTCCCAAATAATGTTTAACAGAGCAAGGAAATTTTCACAGTATATCTGATAATATTTTTTCTTCTGGAGAAAGTCTGATTTGTTTTATTTCGGCTAGAATAAAAGCAGTTTTACATTTTTTATGAACCATTTTTAGGTCAAAATTATTAGCCCTTTAAGTCTTCAGAACAAACCATTGTTTTAAAATAACTTACCTAATTACCCTATCCTGCCTAGTTAACCTAATTAACCTAGTTAAGCCTTTTAATGTCACTTTAAGCTGTATAGAAATGTCTTAAAAAATATCTAGTCAAATATTATTTACTGTCATCATGGCAAAGATAAAATAAATCAGTTATTAGAAATGAGTTACTAAAACTAATATGTTTAGAAAAAAATATTATCTTTGTTAAACAGAAATTGGGGGAAAAAATATACAGGGGGGCTAATAATTCAGGGGGGCTAACAATTTTGACTTCAACTGTATGTGTGTGTATGTGTATATATATATATATATATATATATATATATATATATTTTTTTTTTTTTTTTTTTTTTTTTTTTTTTTTTTGGCCCGGGACAACGGTTTTGTTTTTGCATCTGGCCCTCGGCCCAAAAAGTTTGGACACCCCTGCTCTAGGGATAACAGAGACTTTGACGTCTTGTAAAAAGGGGCATAATATGTCCCCCTTTAAAATACTCTAATGAAGTACAGATACTTAAAAAAATATACTAAGATACTTTCCTGTCCACCAATGGTTAATCCAAACGACAAACGCCACCCACAAAGCTCTTGGCTCTTACAAATGTAACCACTTGTACAGCCTTTCATCCAACAGATTTAATTTTCGTGAATCGTGAGGTAAGAAATCCTGAATAAGAGGATTTCGCTTTATCAGGGTGTCTGGAGAGCGTGTAATCCAACCAAATGGAATCCAAATGCTGTATTTACATCGTTCGCCCTCAGAAACCAGCATTAACGTTCCTCTGGCAAATATCAGTAAAAAAAAAACACTCATTAATATCCACTCACCTCTGAAGACAAACAATGGCCGCCTGCTCATTCTCATTCTCCGCTTGTGTGGTGCCCAAAACCTGCCAGGCCTTTGTAGAGGAACAAAAAAAAAGCTAGTTTGAAACAAATGTCACAAAATTATTAGGGCAAAGCAGAAATAAAAAGAGGCTGGAGCATAAATAGCTGGGAGGGCGCTGTAAAAACAATGTTCAATTACTGGAGCTGCCAGCTTTCTAAAACGTATTGTTGTTCTCTCTCTCTCTTTACGTGCTCGGCCGGTGTGTTTAATCATTCTGTGGGGGGAAAGTGACAGGAGACTTTAATGTGGTTTTGATTGGGTTAAACAGGATCACGTTCGTGCTCCATCACAGAGGTTTACGCCAGCATCGCCTCATAAAGCATGGGGAATTTCATTACATGTTCAACAATAGTGCTGACTGGGCAATAATGAGAATAACACAAGGGAAAAGAACGTGGATTTGCACTGCCAGACGAACATTCGCTTTGGGCAGCAAAAACACTAATCTGTTTCAGCATTTGTGAGGTGATAAAACATGGCTGTAATAGTTGTGTTTTGAATACTAGTGATTGCCTTGATGTCTGTTGCATTCTGCAGCATTCTCAGACAGACCTCTTAAAGGGACAGTTGACCCAAAATATAAAAATCCAGTCATCATTTGATCAACCTTCACTTCAAAAACTGGCTTGAGATTCCTTGATCTGCTAAGATATATTGAGGAATAGTGGTTGCTGGGACTCACTGACTTCCATTAACTCCCATTGACATCCAAGTGCCAAATGGCACACTGTACACTACCTGACAAAACTCTTGTCGCCTATGCAAGTTTTAGGAGCAACAAATAATAACTAGTTGATCATTTAGTATCAGAAGTGGCTAATATGAAAGGCAAAGGCCTCTAGATTACGCTTATTTTAGCAAAATAAAATATGATCATGCCTTGATTTTTAATGATTTAATTAGGACAGTAAGGTCTGACTTTGCTTAGACAAAAGTCTTGTCACTTAACAGAAATAATGTCCAGTATAGAATATAAAGTCATGCTGCATTGGAAAAAGAATGATTATTGTGCATGACTCCTATGAGCTTGGAGGACTGCATCCATACATCTCTGCAATGACTCAAATCGCTTATTAATAAAGTCATCTGGAATGGCAAAGAAAGCGTTCTTGCAGGACTCCCAGAGTTCATCAAGACTCTTTGGATTACTCTTCAATGCCTTCTCCTTTATTTTAACACCGACATACTCAATAATGTTCATGTCTGGTTACTGGGCTGGCCAATCCTGGAGCACCTTGACCTGCTTTGCCGTCAGGAATTTTGATGTGGTGGCTGAAGTATGAGAAGGAGCGCTATCCTGCTGGAGAATTTGTGGTTTGTAATGTAATGAGCAGCACAAATGTCTTGATACCTCAGGCTGCTGATGTTGCCATCCACTCTGCAGATCTCTTGCACGCCGCCATACTGAATGTAACCCCAAACCATGATATTTTCCTTCACCAAACTTGACTGATTTCTTATTTTGGGTGAACTATCCCTTTAAACCTCTAAAATGCCGGGGCTTTTGATTGATGTTTGCGTGAACTGTCTCTTTAAGGATTGGGGCTGCAGTTAACGTAACTAAAAAAACTCATAAATGTTCAATAAACGGGCTGTCCAGAAATACCTACAAGTTCAAAGTAACTCCTTACTTTTAAAGCAAAGAATTAATTAAAATACTGTAATTTCACTCAACAATGATGACCGGAGTACTGGACTGAAGAAAAACACAGGTTTCACCCCCCTGTTCACCCCCCCACCCCCCAAATAAAAGCATTCTGTTAATAAAATAATAAAATAAAACCGGTTTGAGTTTCTTTCTTCTATTAAACATTAAATAAGAGATTTAGAAGAATGCTGGAAACCTAAAGCCGTTGACTTTCATAGTAGTGTTTTTTTTCCTACATTGGAGGTCAATGGTTACAGGTTTTCTAAGTTCTCAAAACATCTTCTGTTGTGTTCAACATGATAAAGAATCTCAAACAGATTCATAACCACTAGTAAATGTTTATTATTGGGTGAACTATCCCTTAAAAATGCCTGAGCTCTTGATTGATGTTTGTGTAAACTGTCCCTGGAAACCTGTAACCATTGACTTCCATTGTAGGAATAATTATGCAAGTCAAGGGTTACAGGTTTTCAGCTCTCTTCTAAATATCTTCTTTTGTTTTCAACAAACTCATAACCACTTGAGGGTGAGTAAACGGTGAGTAAATGTTAATTTATGGGTGAACTATCTCTTTAAAATGCCTGAGCTCTTCTGTGATGTTTGTGTGAACTGTCCCTTTAAGGATTTGAAACACAGCTAATGTGTAAGTCAGCTAGAAAAACTCAATATATGAGCTGTCCAGAATTCTATATGGAGTTGTTTACCTCTGAGTCCTGAGGGTCTTGTAAGATAGCGGCCTCCAGCAGTAAAACAGCACTGTTCAGATCCCCATCCCTGCACTTCTGCTGCCCCTGTTCAAAGGCATTGCTGTAGTCTTTGTATGGGTTATTAGCATGGAAGAAGTAACCCTGAAAACAGCAACAACAACCAAAAAAATCACAAGTAAATATTTTAATAGAATACTTGAGAGCAGGAATACTTGAGACTTTCATAAATCTGGAGAGGCAGACAGAGGAGTGTTGATAATTGGATCACGCTGAGGTCTTTAATATTGCAGTGAATGGTGCGGTCGGCTAATCAGAGACGTGGGGAGAAGAGAAGGGCACAGGATCTCACACTTCAAAATAATCCACCGCAAAGCCATATGCTCAACTGTCCGGGACACTAAACAGTAACTAAGAGTGCTTGAAAGACAACCAAAAAGTGCATTTCTTGATTAAGTTCCTGTTTTTCTAAATTCTCCTGAAGAGATTTTAAATAATCATTTGAGTTCCTGAAAAAAAATAATTCTCTCCGATTCACTCCTGAAAGTGATATTAGCAGTTTATTAGATTGTTTCGAATGCTAACAGTCCTGCAAATGCGAATGCGCTAATAAACCATTTCATAGGGCTGGGAGTGCATTACAGTTATTTACATGCATTAGTCTAGATGACTTGACTCATCTTTTAACTCAGCTCATTTTACAACTCCCCTAGAGTTAAACTGTTAGCAGTTTTATAGGCAGGAGCCCTTTTAGCTTAGCCAAGCATAAATCATTGAATCTGATTAGACCGTTAGCATCTTACTCAAAAATGACCAAAACCTTTTTCTATTTAAAGCTCGACTCTTCTGTAGTTATTGTACATCGTGTATTAAGGGCGATATGTCTAGGAACTGTACTCTCATTCTGGCATAATAATGATGGAACTTTGCTGCCGAATCAAAAGAAAAAAGATTGTTTCGAATGTTAACAGTCCTGCAAATGAATGCAATACTAAACCACTTAATAGTGCTGGGAGTATAAAACAGAATAAATATTATTATACATAAAATAATAAGATAATAATAATAATATTAATAATAATAATCAAAAGATCTATTTTTGCTAAACATTTCACAACATTTTTTACAAAAAAGTTACAGAAACACATTCTCCCATCTACAATGTAAAACATTTTTTTCTCTAATGTTCTCTAATGTTACGAATACCTTCGTAATCACTTAAACGTTAATTGAATTGACTTAATTTTAAAACAGAAATATAATTATTTAAAAGTATTTTAACAAGATATGCACAATGTTTGATTAGTTTCACAATGCTAAAATGTCTGCAAGAACACTGCATACGCAAGACTTTTGCCAGCTCGTGTGCGCAGTGAAAAGCAAACGCCAAAAGGTGCGAATACCAATAATGAAACTGTATTTATCAGAAAATGTTTATTAAATGTTTAATTTACAATACTTATAGTTTTGTTTTGTATTATAGAATTTAATAATAATGTTTATGAGTTTCTTTAAACATGTTCTTTTAAATAGCCTCGGCTCCGTTGGCGTTTCTGTGTGGAGTTTGCATGTACTCCCTGCGTTCTCGTGGGTTTCCTCCGGGTGCTCTGGTTTCCCTCACAGTCCAAAAACATGCGGTACAGGTGAATTGGGTAGGCTAAATTGTCCGTAGTGCATGAGTGTGTGTGTGAATGTTTATATTTGTCTGATGAAGAGCCGGGTGGCTCGAAACGTTACACGCTCTGTGTCAGCCTTTTTAATTTAATACATTTGTATTTTTGGAGCCTTGGTGTTGCCGCCTTTGATTTACATTTAATGTGTGTGGATGTTTCTCAGAGATGGGTTGTAGCTGGAAGGGCATCCACTGCGTAAAAACTTGCTGGATAAGTTGGCGGTTCACTCCGCTGTGGCGACCCCGGAATAATAAAGGGACTAAGCTGACAAGAAAAAGAATGAATGTTCTTTTAAATAATGATTCTTGTTTTAATATGGAATTTATTCATAAATCACTTTCCAATCTGTTAGAACTGCGTTGTTTGTGTCTTTGATTTTGATTCCAGATTGGGGGCGTGCCTTCAGCGCACCTGATGCTGGTCAGCGCCCTTATTTAAACCCCGGCAGAGAGTTTGTCGGAGCCGCTGTCCATTCACTTGGCAGTTGGCCAGAGCCGCGCTCCTATTTGGCCTTTATGCTTTGTTTCGCATCCATACATTATCACTGACAACATTTACAGAATCCATACATTTGCATTTCACACTGATTGAACATACTGATACTGATATTTTGATTATATAATTTAAATTGAGCTAAATAAATATTCTTTTTGATTATACTTCTCCTTGTCGTCTCCCTCCTTATTATGTTACATCCTTGAGCCAGGTGTAACACAATCATATTCATTTTCATAGATATTGCAATAAAGAAAGTTGTCCAACACTTTTGTACCTTTTTTTATGAGAGAAATTGTGTGGCTTCATTTCAGTTGTACCATAAAAGGTACAGAACAGTATCATAAGAGGTCTTTTCTGTACCATATAAGGTACAACTTTTACAAAGGTACAAAACTGTTCCTTAAGAACAGGGCCGGAGTGGGACTCTTTTTCAGCCCTGGAGTTTCAAGCCTTAGACCGGCCCACCTCAGTTCACCACTGACTATCCTAAAATAAGGTCATTTCCAATTCAGTTTCTAATTACACTATCACGTCTTTTTTTGAGAAAACAGCTGTTTTAGAACTTCAAATGTTCAACAACCCTTACAGTATTATATGTCTTAACAATAAAAATGAAAAAAAAAAAACATTACTCAGACGAGGACCGAACCCGGGTTGGCTGCGTCACAACCTAACGTGCTAACCACTGTACCACAACAGCTTTGTGTTGCATGGTGACTTATCTAATTATATCATCACGAGGCTACGAGAAAATAGATAAAAAGAGCAGAGCTGCAGTAAAATAATGAATAAGAAGGCTGTGGTCAAGTAAATAAATAAATTATATTTAAAAAGTGTGACTGCTGAGAGCAACAGATTCTGGAGCTAGAAACACCGGCCCTCGCGGCCAAAAAACGGACCGGCCCACCGGGAATTCTCCCGGTCCTCCCGATTAGCCAATCCGGGCCTGCTTAAGAAACATTTTTGTACCTCCGTGTACCTTTTTTCCGAGAGTGTAGTAACCAAGAACAGCCTGGTGCAACTGAATAACAACAACCGTGTTGAAATGCTACAGCAGACATATACAGTATACTAATAGCTTGAGGCTATAAATAATGAAGCTCTACAGCAATGAACATTCGGGGTCTGTTTGGAAGAACACGCCGATGGAGCATAAGAAAGAATTTTAGATGAAAGAGAGCATTATCTGACATCTGGAGTGTGTAACCATTGAAGAAATAATCTAGCGCTGAATCCGTTCAATCATCATTGAAAATGAACCCTGTTCCAAGCATTGTGTGTGGTCTGGAGACTTTTTAGAGTAGTTCCAGTCTGGTGTGCATACAGTCGAAGTCAAAATTATTATGATGGTTTTCTTTTTTAAATATTTCCCAAATGATGTTTGACAGAGCAAGGAATTTTTCACAGTATTTCCTATAATATTTTTTCTTCTGGAGAAAGTCTTATTTGTTTTAATCTGGCTAGAATAAAAACATGTTTTAACTGTTTAAAAACTACTTTAAGGTGAATATTATTAGCTCCCTTAAGCAATATATATATATTTTTGATCATCTACAGAACAGCTGATGCTGATAAAAGTTCGACATTTATTCATTTAACTAATATATTAATAGTCGAAACACTTTTCCATCATTTCTAGCCCCCTTGTAAGTTTTCTGATGTCCTCTAGGGGGGGCAGTCACCATAAAACAAAGCGTTCTGATTGGTTGGAAATACCTTCTCAGTAGGAGAAAAGTTGAGTGGCACCAGGCCTTCGCTGTCAGCATCCTCCAGCCAGTTCCTCCGTGCCAGTTCCTCCCACTCGGCTTGCATTTTATCCCAGAACTCCGTGTCTGACTGCGGAAGACATCACACGGCCCTTTAGGACACATCTAGCATTTGATATATCAAACAAACTGGCACCCTGCAGGCCGTTACAGACAGAGATGCTTTTGGCATCTATAAAATTCTGCTTTAACAACATAGCTGGAGGCATAGCATTTGAACTGCTCCGTGATTTTCAGCTTCACAATCATGCCGCAGTTTTATAAAGACGTTTTTAAAATAATAGACATCATTTCTTGTGTGAATTACAGGGGGTTTGGGGGATCTGAACACTGTAATTAACCCCCTGAAGAACGTCAAAACAAGATCCATGGGGGTGGGGGGGGGAGGGTGATGCTTGGTTTGAATTGCTGCAGATCGTCTTGACCATGTCCGCATGCCTTAACACATGCCGTGTGATTGGCTAATTAGAAATTTGCATTAACAAGCAGCTGGACAGGTGTACCTAATAAAGTGGCCGGTGAGTGTATAACTTTGGTTCACTGAGGCATATTAAGCAACATAACCGTAAAACTTGACCCCTCCGATCGTCAATGTATAATTCGCACCCAGGCGATAAGTGGCTGCAGTCCGATTTGAAGCAGCAAGGGCAAAAGGTCAGCATGTCTTATTCATCTTTATGGATTCACCAGAATATCATCTGCATGAATTGCATTTATTAACTCTCAGATTTCATACAGCATCTAGTTTCTTTCCAATCAGAGAGAGGTCAGCAGAAACAATGCACAATGTATGCATGTGTATAGAGTTTTTTTGAGTGTGTGTGTGTGTCATATCGGGTGCGATCAGTCTGGCAGATTCCATTAAAGGTCCATCATTGACTGCAACAAACCCCTAGAGGAAGGTATTAAAATAAATGACTCTTTTTCGATGCATGGCTGTACACGTGTAATGGCAAAGCAGAATTCTCAGCAGCCATTAGTCCAGTCGGTAATGACACATGATCCTTTGCTATTGATTATAATACGGGATCCTGGATGTTGTTTTGGCATTTTTTGGCCAATTGCCAACAATACATTCATTGGTCGATTTTTCTTTTCTGCCAAAAATCATTTGAGTATTAAGTAAAGATCATGTTCCATAAATATATTTACTGTACACAAGGCCGGCGCGTCCATAAAGGCGACCTAGGCGGCCGCCTAGGGCAGCAGAATAGAGAGGGCGGCATCCCCGAAACTACCCTCGCCACCCACGCCTTCATCCGCGTCTAGGGTGGCAGACTAGAGAGAGCGGCATCCCCGAAACTACTCTCACCACCCGCGCCCACAGTTATATCCGCGTCTAAGGCGGAAGAATAGAGAGGGCGGCGTCCCCTAAACCAGGGGTTCCCAAACTTTTCAGCCCGCGACCCCCAAAATAACAATGCCAGTGACTCGTGACCCCCAGTATTCTCTGAGGTGGTGGTTATAAATACAGAAACCTTGTATGCAATGACGCGCACACACACACCAATAGACCCAAGTCTATTCTTTGTTTTTTTTTATGTATGTCAGTGCTGTAAATGGGCTAGAAAGTTTAACCTGGTGTTACAAAATCTGCTGCATCTGACAGTATTGCTGTGTCTTTAGTATAATGTAATTACCCGAGAAGTCGCAATCCAATAGAACTAGTAACTATAAGCTACTATAGTAACTATATAGTTTATAGTAACTATAAACGACTATTTTTTTCTCTTCAGTAGGTTATTGATAAAATACAGTAAGTCTTAAGGTTTAATAAAAATTTATTGATTTTTGAAAATCACCAGGCGACCCCCCTTCATTGTCCCGCGACCCCCACTTTGAGAACCTCTGCCCTAAACTACCCTCGCCACCCGCACCTCGGGCGGCGTCCCCTAAACTACCCTCGCCACCCGTGCCGGGGTCGCCACAGCGGAATGAACCGCCAACTTAACCGGCACATGTTTTACGCAGTGGATGCCCTTCCAGCTGCAACCCATCTCTGGGAAACACCCAAACACACTCATACACTACGACAATTTCGTCTACCTAATTCACCTGTACCGCATGTCTTTGAACTGTGGGTGAAACCGGAGCACCCGGAGGAAACCCACGCGAACACAGGGAGAACATGCAAACTCCACACAGAAACGCCAACTGACTATGCCGAGGCTCGAACCAGCGACCTTCTTGCTGTGAGGTGACAGCACTACCTGCTGCGCCCTCAGATTGCAGATCTCTATATATTTGTATCACTTCCAAATATTACAGTACAATTCCCCAATGGAAATCTTCATTATTAAGCTATTCAGTGATGTATAGTGTAAATCTGCAAAAGTTATCTACAAAATGATCACGTTAAAAAATAGATTTATGAAAAGCTAATATTTTCTGGCGGCTGAAGCTTCCCACTTGTACTATAGTACTATAATACTGGTGAAAAAAATGATGTCTAGCTATAGTATTAGATAGCTAAATATAATTAAAAATTTGTACAAGTGTAGCCTGTGTTAATAGGTATCATAAGTGGTCACTGACAGAATAAAAAATGTAAGTTGTGAGCTAATTACTGTAAGTCTTGACCATCGTGATTATTTGTAATGAGTTAATCAATGTTGTATAATTAAAAAGATTGACAAGACCCTTTCAATGAAATTCAATCTAACTTCCAGTCCAGCTTTGATTTGGGGTTTGTGTTCTAAACATTCATTAAGTAATTTTCCTTTGGCCTCTATTTCAGAGGTCACCACAGCGGAATGAACCGCCAACTATTCCGGCATATGTTTTACGCAGCGGATGCAACCCATCACTGGGAAACACCCATACACACTCATTCACACACATAAACTATGTGAAGTTATATAAGCTAATTTCAAGAGGATCACATGCTTATGCTTGCTTGGAGCTGCCCCGCATAATCCAATTTATGTTACACCAAAATAGACGATTCCTAAACCACAGTAAGTGCCCTTGGTTTCATACCACAGACATCTTTGTTTTGAAGAATCCCCCCTTCCACCCCTACTCCTCCTCCTTTCCTAGATGGGCGGCACAGTGGTCCAATGGTTAGCACTGTTGCAGGGGTTAGGGAAGGGTTGGGATTTTTTTGCGGATGGGGGTTGTCAATCATACTAAAATAATCTGTGACAGAAGGTCACTCAAAAGTGAAAGTTCTTTCTGTCTTTAATTACTTACACTCCCGTCATTCCTACTACTTTCAGAAGATAAATTTAGATATTTTACCATATTCCCAGAGATGGGTTGCGGCTGGAAGGGCATCCGCTGTGTAAAAACTTGCTGGATAAGTTGGTGGTTCATTCCGCTGTGGCGACCACGGATTAATAAAGGTACTAAGCCGACAAGAAAATGAATGAATGAATGAATTTTACCATATGAAAATCCAATGAAATGATGAACATTGTGAAATTAAAGGCAATAGTGCAGAGATCTGGTCCCCGCGTCAGGTCAGGGTGCGCCAGTAGCCTTTAAAACTAAAAGGGGGTAAACACTTTTTCACACAGGGCTACGTATTTTTGTATTTTGCTACTTGACTCAATAATAAAAACCTTCGTCTCAAAACTGCGTGCTGTGTTTACTTGTGTTATCTTTGACTCATTTTTTTTTGGCTCTTTCACACCACTATACATAAGATGTTGTGGTTTTGCTGGCATAATACCAGCACCTAAAAGAAAAGAAAAGAAAAGAAAACATGTTTGTCCACCAACAGAACAGCAGCCTAAGGTGGTTTAACATGCAAAACACAGTACCTGATCTTAGGAGGCATCAAATGCGGATCCGCAAACCACCAATTTCAAGATGGTGACCAGCAATATCAGAATTTTGAGCAGAGCTCTTACTTATTTAACATGGTCAGCAAATTCAAGTAAACACTGAACTCAATTCACACAATGAGACATTCACTCTTCTTTAGGTGCGTTATTGTTAGCCAGATTTGGCTTCCTTAACGGTACAGTTTGAACAACCCAGTTCCTAAAGCCCGCTGACTAGAATAACTTGCTCTTTTATTTTCTTTGGCAGCTCAAATTAATCTCGCAACGCACAAACAATTGCTTAGGCTTCAACTGAGCACTCGCATTAAGGGGGAATGAAGAAAGAGTGCTGCATCTGTGATGAAGGTATTCGCTGAATGAGCCAATTAATCACCGAAAATCCTGCACACATGGAACAAACAGCCATGTACACACTCATGTTTCGCATTTGATATACTGTACTGGAATAAATCAGATCGATAAATGTCTCTGTTATCAGCGATAGAATATGAATGAATCTTTTTCCTAGATTGCCTTTCAAGCAGTTCTGTCACCATGACGAAGGGGCGCCATCCAGATGCAGCGCCGCAAGGGATCTCGAGAGTCATTCATCTGTAGTCTAATAATCACCCTACAGCGCAGACAACCTGTGCACTGGCTTTAAAAACTGTGTCTTGATTAAAAGTGTTGAATCTTTGCTTGGCTTTTATACGAACAGGGTATAAAAAAGTGTGGGAAATAAGTATTGAACGTGTCATCATTTTTCTCAGAAAACATATTTCTAAAGGTGCTGTTGACTTGAAATTTCCCTTAGATGTTGGTAATAACCAAATAAATCCAAATATGGAAAGAAAAATCGAATTAGTTTACAAATGAAGTTATGTGTAATCAAATGAAATGACACTAGAGAAAAGTATTGAACACATGAAGAAAGGGAGGTGTAGAAAGGCAGGGAAGGCCCAGACAGCAGCTGAAATCTCTCACTTAGTTAATTTAATTAACCTAGTTTAGCCTTTACAGTGCATCCGGAAAGTTTTCATATTGCTTCAGTTTTTCTACATTTTTTTTAATTCAGTTGATTTGACTTGATTTGAGAAGGCATTAGCTCCCAGGGTTGACAGTGCATGTCAAAGCACAAACCAAGCATGAAGACAAAGGAATTGTCTGTAGACTATTGGTGTGTGTGTGCACGTCATTGCATACAAGGTTTCTGTATTTATAACCACCACCTCAGAGAATATTGGGGGTCATGAGTCACTGGCATTGTCATTTTGGGGGTCGCGGGCTGAAAAGTTTGGGAACCCCTGGTTTAGGGGACGCCGCCGTCTCTATTCTTCCGCCCTAGACGCGGATATAACTGTGGGCGCGGGTGGTGAGAGTAGTTTCGGGGACGCCGCTCTCTCTGTTCTGCCACCCTAGACGCGGATGAAGGCGCGGGTGGCGAGGGTAGTTTCGGGGATGCCGCCCTCTCTATTAGGCGGCCGCCTAGATCGCCTTTAAGGGCGCGCCGGCCTTGTGTACAGTAAATATATTTATGGAACATGATCTTTACTTAATACTCAAATGATTTTTGGCAGAAAAGAAAAATCGACCAATGAATGTATTGTTGGCAATTGGCCAAAAAATACCAAAACAACATCCAGGATCTAACAGTGCATCCGGAAAGTTTTCATATTGCTTCAGTTTTTCTACATTTTTTTTAATTCAGTTGATTTGACTTGATCTGAGAAGGCATTAGCTCCCAGGGTTGACAGTGCATGTCAAAGCACAAACCAAGCATGAAGACAAAGGAATTGTCTGTAGACCTCCGAGACAGGTTTGTCTTGAATTTTGTATTCAAATTTCTGCTGATCTAAAAGTTCCAATGAGCACAGCGGCCTACATCATCCATAAGTGGAAGATGTTTGGAACCACCCGGACTCTTTCTAGAGCTGGCCGTCCATCTAAACTGAGCGATCGGGGAGAAGGACCTTAGTCAGGGAGGTAATTAATAACCCGATGGTCACTCTGTCTGAGCTTCAGCGTTTTTCTGTGGAGAGAGGAGAACCTTACAGAAGGACAACCATCTGTGCAGCAGTCCACCAATCAGGCCTGTATGATAGAGTGGCCAGACGGAAGCTGCTCCCGCCTGGAATTTGCCAAAAGGCATCTGAAGGATTCTCAGACCATGCCATAAGGATGTTTTTCAGCAGCAGGAACTCGAAGACTAGTCAGGATAGAGGGAAAGATGAATGCAGCAATGTAAAGAGACATCCTGAAGGAAAACCTGCTTTAGAGTGCTCTTGACCTCAGACTGGGGCAATGGTTCATCTTCCAGCAGAACAATGACCCAAAGCACACTGCCAAAATATCAATGGAGTGGCTTCACAACAACTTGGTGAATTTCCTTGAGTGGCCCACCCAGAGCCCAAATCCTATTGAACATCTCTGGAGAGATCTGAAAATGGTTGTACACTGTCGCTTCCCATCCAGCATGATAGAGCTTGAGGGGTGCTGCAAAGAGGAATGGGCAAAAATTCCCAGACAGGTGTGCCAAGCTTGTAGCATCATATACAAAAAGACTTGAGGCTGTAATTGCTGCCAAAGGTGCATCAACAAAGAATTGAGCAAAGGCTGTGAATACTGATGTACATGTGATTATTCAGGCTTATTATTTTTACTAAATTAACAACAATTTCAAAAACCTTTTTTTTCACTTTGTCATTATGCGGTATTGTGTGTAGAATTATGAGCAAATAAATGAATTTATTCCATTTTGGAATAAGGCTGTAACATAAAAAATGTGGAAAAAGTGAAGCGCTATGAATACTTTATGGATGCACTGTGAATGTCACTTTAAGCTGAAAACTAGTATCTTGAAAAATGTCTAGTAAAATATTTACTGTCATCATGGCAGAGATCAAATAAATCAGATATTAGAAATGTGTTATTAAAACTATTATTTTTAGAAATGTGTTTAAAAAGTCTCCTTTCTATTAAACAGAAATTGGGGAAAAATATACAGGGGGCTAATAATTCAGGAAGGCTACTAACTCAACGACTTAATCAACTAAAGTAGCTGAATGTGTTTTGTGGCAAAGCGATAGAATATGATCCCCAGTTTAGTCCTCAGCTGGTGAAGAGGAAAATGCAAGAGAAGCACAGAAACTTTATACATTTTGCATTGCAATATTGATCACAGTGTCACCGTTAAATATATCTACAGTGACTCTGGACTGCCTTTTTACAGGCCTCGTTCCTGAGCACATCACTTTTAAAGGGTTGTTTTATGAACGTTACCGCCCAATAAGCATCTCTGGAAGGAAGAGTAGAGAAGTAAGAGCTGACATCATCACAACGCAGCCTCTTTTGAGATGTCAGTTGTGTTGATGCTGCACTCTTCGGCTAAAAATACTCCAATTATGCAGTCTTAACTTACAGGGTGAGGCTGACCTTATGGAAGGCAAGAAACTGCAATTCCCAGCTGGCCCCAGATACTTTGTGAATAAGCACTGAGGTGTGAAGATTTGTCTGGACTTTTCTTTCCAAAGTTTTGGAGAGAATATATAGCAGTGATTTGTCATGTGTGTGCTGTTGAGACTCACCTCTACAGCAGCCTTGGCTCGAACAAACTCCTCCTCTAATGAATGTTGTCTTCCCAGTAAAGAGCCGCCCAGCTGGGGCTTCTGCCGCTGCGCACACAGATGGTCAAACACACACCCAGACAAGGTCAACCAGCAGTCCTTCAGTAACACTGTCTTTGTCCTTGCTTCATGCTGAACAAGCAGCCTTAAAGTTAGGGCAAATAATCATTTTTTTCTCAACAAAAAAGTGTTAGCATTAGCATACTCATAAAGCCCAAAACATAACTTTGAAGGATTGTTAGGGGGTCGTCGATCACCTGTAATGCGCTATTCCGTTCTGAGAACGCACCTTTTTTGTTGACAAGAAAAAAATAAGCGTGCTGCGCTTTTTATGTTGCTAGGCAACGACTGAATTAGCTGCTTATTGTGCGCAAGCGTTACTGTTTATATTGTTATAATTGTAATATTTAATAATATTGTGATATTTACGACTTGTGAAGTCATACAGCTCTGGGAAACCACTAGTCACTCCTGCATCTTTAAAAGACTCCTTAGTCGTCTTGACAACATTGCTGTCACCTCAACAGAAAACCCGCCTTTGCTTTCGTTTCATATCGGCCCGAGATATTTAAGCCGATAAAGAATGGTATTATTACTTCCACTCCTATACGCAAGTTCAGAAAAAAGTAATATTAAGATTTAATTTTATTTATTTGCCTTTATATCGGTTATTGGCTTCGAAATATAAAAAATTATAGGTATCATCCAAAGTTCCCTATCGGTTTTCAAGGGAGATATATGTTAAATAGTGACAGAAAACTGGAATGAAGAACTGACAAGCAATCACTGTGAATGCTTGATATATCGGTTGCTGCATCGAAATTGGCCGATAAACAGCTATTTTGAATGTTATTATCCCGATAAATCATCCAAATAAAGGCTTTACTTCGACTCATATAGTCAAGATGAGAAAAAATAATATTAAGATTTGCCTTTAATTGCCTATATATTGTTTACTGGCTTCAAAATATAAACAATTATCAGTGTCTAAATCCATATCGGTTTTCCGCATCAATTAGCAAAGGAGAAATATGTTAAATAGTGACAAAAATATCAATTGGAATAAAGAAAGAAATTGTTTGATGAACCGACAACTAATCACTTGGAATGCTTGATACATCGGTTGCTGCATCTGTATTGGCCGATATTTGACTATTTTAAATGTTATCGTTATTATCCTGATAAAGAATTTGTCAGCCCGATATTTTGACAGTCAATAAATAATAGCTTTACTTCCACTCATATAGTCAGGATAAGAAAAAATAATATCAAGATTTGCATTTATTTGCTTATATATCGGTTACTGGCTTCAAAATATAAACAATTATCGGTATCCAAATCCATATCGGTTTTCCACATCAATTAGCAAAGGAGAAATATGTTAAATAGTGACAAAAATTTTTATTGGAATGAAGAAGAAAGTGTTTGAAGAAAAAATAACTTATCAGTGGGTATGCTTGATATATTGGTTGCTGCATAGTTATTGGCCAATAAACGGCTATTTTAAATGTTATCATTATTATCCCTATAAGGAATTTGTCAGCCCAATATTTTAAAAGTCGATAAATAATGCCTTTACTTTCACTCATATAGTAAGGATGAGAAGACATATTATCAAGATTTGCATTTATTTGCCTATATATCAGTTACTGGCTTCAAAATATAAAAATTTATCAGTATCAATATCGGTTTTCCATATAAATTTTTGAAGGAGAAATATGTTAAATAGTGACAGAAAATGTCAATTAGAATGAATAAGAAAGTGTTTTATTTAACTGAATTTATCCAGTCAAGGACACTGATTAACCCAGGTTAGCCCAGTGTTTATAAATTAACAAAGTCAAATCTCAGCTTACGAGTTTTTAGCATGAATTAAGATTTCAAGTGTTAAAAACCCTTCTGATATCACATGCAGTAATATTTTGCCATTTTAGGTGTATTTTTTAGGCCACACTAATTTAATAGGTAAAATTACATTTATGGGGAATATATAGTATATATTAATTAAATATAAAATTGCTATAATCAATTATTAATTACACCTACTACACCCAAAAAAGATTTTTGCTGCTTGTTCAAACTACTTATTTAAAATGAGCTGAATCAACACAACACAAGAGTTTTTTGGGGGATAAACTTAAATGTTTTATGTTCGATCCACTTAAATTTGTAGAAACAATAAAGTGAACTAAACGATTTGTTTTCCCAGAGATGGGTTGAGGCTGGAAGGGCATCCGCTGCGTAAAAAAACTTGCTGGATAAGTTGGCTGTTCATTCCGCTGTGGCGACCCCGGATTAATAAAGTAACTAAGCCGACAAGAAAATGAATGAATGAATGAATAAACGATTTGTGTTGAGACAACATGAAAGAATTTTGTGCAACCCAGCATATTTGACAGTGCAATATATAATAAATACATAGAGCCTATTTATTACTATTATTATTTTCGATGACATATTTTAAATGCACAGTCAGAAAAAAACTTTGATGAAGCAACAAATCCTGAACTTCAAACAACAAATCACAGTTTAAAAAAGCACCTAATGGAAAGAGACCCATTCGCTTTCCATTAAGTGCATCTTAGAAACATGATCTGGCCTTTAAAGTAGCAATCTGTATCTGCCATATATAAAGATGCAAGTGATTCCACTCCTCAGTATCTATAGTTCAGTATATGAGATGGAAGTTCGATTAGTGTGTACCTGAGGGGCCGGTCCGGGGTCTGATTCTGTGCTAATGCTGAGCTCCAGAGCGCTGTGCCTGTTCGAGAAGTCTGTTTTAAAATCTGCAGACCTGAAAAAAGACATGAATACGCCTGAAATAAATCACAAAGCCTACTGAATAAAACAATCCAAATCTAAAATCCATGATAAATGATGATGCCATTAAAACTGCATTGTAGTGATTTAGCTTTCATAACTGTTGTACATATTTACCTGCACGCATTATAATTTCTGAATGCACTGATAGGCTATATTGTGCAAGTTTTGCAGCATCACTATAATGTCATATTGTAATATTTATATTACTTAAGTTTGATTTATACTAGGCGATGCAAAGGCGCAGTAGGTAGTGCTGTTGCCTCATAGCTTGAAGGTCGCTGGGTCGAGCCTTGGCTCAGTTGGCGTTTCTGTGTGGAGTTTGCATGTTCTATCTGTGTTCGTGTGGGTTTCCTCCGGGTGCTCCGGTTTCCCCCACAGTCCAAAGACATGCGGTACAGGTGACTTGGCAGTGGCGCAGTAGGTAGTGCTATCGCCTCACAGCAGTGTTCACCAATAAAATGATATGGATCATATGGAAGAGGAAAGGTGAGGAAAATGTATTTGATTACAAATCATAGACACCATTAAGGTGCTTTGTGGTAGTTATTTGGTGTTGTGCAAAGAACTGCACAAAGAAAATCCTTCATTCATCGAAAAATAAACTTTAATTCGTCATAAAAATAAACCTACATTGGTTAAAAATAAACCTACATTTGTCAAAAAATAAAACTTAATTTATTAAAAAGTAAACCTTAATTAATCGAAAAATAAACCTTTATTTGTCGAAAAATAAACCTACATTAGTCTAAAAATAATCCTTCATTCATCGAAAAATAAACCTTTATTTGTCGAAAAATAAACCTACATTAGTCTAAAAATAATCCTTCATTCATCGAAAAATAAACCTTCATTTTTCGAAAAATAATCCTTCATTAGTCGATAATCTATCAATAATCTAAATATCATTAGTGTAAACAGAAGCAAAAGTTGTTGGCGTCATCCTGCCTTCTAGTGTTCACCAATAAAATTATCAAATGGAAAAAGAAAGGTGAGGAAAATGTATTTGATTATAAATCATAGACACCGTTAAGGTGTTTTGTGGTATTTATTTGGTGTTAACTGCTCAAAAATAATGCTTCATTTATCGATAATATATCCTGATAATACAGTACATCATACTGCCCCTAGTGTTCATTTTACCAAAAAACTGCAGTCAAACATATTTGTTGAAGTGCATATTTGCAGTAGCCTTAAGCGCATCTTTCCAATGAGCCTTTATTGGGAATATGTGGGACTGCACTACTTTTAGGATTGATGATGAGGAAGAATCCTGAGCTTACCACAAAAGTTCACTGGATGAATGGTTGGAGGTGCATCTCTTCCTCTCATATCTCCACTTGCGCCCTCCGTTCAAGGCACTGTCCGGGTGAAGGCTCACCTCTTCCCATTTGTCCAGTGGTGAGCTGCTCACTGTAGAAAGAGTGACAAACGCTACACTTTTAATGAAATACATGGGTCCAAAAGGTAGATTAAGGTGACCCAGCGGCAGATAAGGATACAGCTTACAGCTTAAGCTCTGTCTGCCTCAACCAGGCCAAAAACTGGTGCTCAAAATTGATTAAAGCAGTTGGGCTGTAGATGATGAATCTAGTACACCAGAGAAAACCGTGCTTTAGCTTACAGTAGCCTAAGGCGTAATCAACTGGAAATGAACTTTACGGTACAAGTTGTTTAATGCTTTCCAAAGGATTACGATAAGCCAGTGTGGCGTTTCAACAACAGAGCTGAAATGAAAACCAAGACATTTCTACTTGGAGTGTGAAAGCCACGCTTGTGTGTGTGTGTGTTTAAAGCATTTCCATAATTTCCCACTTACTACATTTAGTATAATGAGGAGCTAGGTTGCTGATAAAAGGCAGACTAACTGCTTCCCAATAAAGCCCCAAAGGCACAGAAAAAACAAAACTCGAAAGGTCAAAAATTAAATTACACTAAGAGCACGGATTAAATCAGCTGCAAATTTAATCATAAGCACCTCTTAAATTGATTAAAAGAACTCTAAGCTTTCACAAACGGAGGACTTTTAATGGATTGAAGCGGACAACTTTCCTAACGCATTAAAAGGTTTCATTAAATTATCGTTTTGTTAATGATAGGGAGACACAGCGATCATGTCTAATGTAAGCAACGCTGTAAAAAATAGCAACCCAACACGTTTGGGTCAAACATTTAACCCAAGCAGCTGGACCAAAACAGCACAATGCTGGTTGGTTTATATTTGACCTTTTGTTATTAACGTAGCATTGTTTCAAGTGAAGGTATTTCATAATCATGATAATATTGATAAAAAAGGTCCAAATCGGAGAGAGTGGATATTTCAACAGTTTTAACCCAGATTTAAAATATAGACCAACCCAGTGGTTGGGTTACAATTTTAACTCTAAGGGCTCTATTTTGACGGTCCATGCGCAAAACGGAAAGCGCAGGGCGCAAACGCTTTCAGGGCGTGTCAGAATCCATGTTTGCTAATTTTAGGGATGGGAAAATCCGCTTTGCACCAAGGCGCATGGTCTAAAAGGGTTGAGCTTATTTTGTTAATGAGTTATTGGTGTGTTTTGAGAATAAACCAATCAGTCTCATCTCCCATTCCCTTTAAGAGTCAGCTGCGTCGCGCCATAAGCGCATTTGCTATTTACAGGACGTAAAGTAAGTGTAAGTGGAAAAAATTTGCAGTTTTAAAAAAACAGTTTTTTTTTTTTTTTAACAGAAAACAGTTAAACAGAGCATCTACCGTGCGAGAATGAGAGATAAGGGATGTACTTTCACTTTCGCTCTCATGGATAGGGAAACCTTAACGCACAGACATCAATTAGTCTATAAATAATTAATTTAGTTTGTTAAGCGCAAATATTTGTTTCAAAACTATTTCTAAATTCAGTTCTAATTTCCAGCAAACGAATAAATGAACAATAATAACGAAGTGTGCGCTCAGAGTTATATCCTAAAACACATGCTGTGCCCCATATGGTCTAAAACCTGCAGGTGGGCAAATCTAAGCTTGTTTTTAATAAAACAAATATAAATATGGATATAATAAATAATACTGCAAATAATAATAACATTATACAAAAGCAAATTGTTATAATTGAACTGAAAAAGCCTCCCGAGATGAAGAAGGCAAAAACAAAGCAGTGGTTTTTCATATTTATGTAGGCTAGAAAATAATGCGTTTTGTAATATTTTATTCCTTTATTTATATCCTATATCTATTCTTATTATATCCTATATATAGGCCTATCCTTAATATTTAAATTTTTTCATGTGTAAAGATATTTGCATATTGCTCTACATCTTGTGTGTGGGCTATTAAGCAGTGTGTAAGCGAGGCGCAACCCTGCGCTGGAGTTTAGACCGGGTTAGTTTTGGTCTAATGAAAAATCTATTATAGTTTCTCAAAATAGCAACGCGCCAGCGGTCCGCCTCAGAACGCCTTCCTTTTTAGACCAGAACGCCTATGGGCGCACATTTGAGCGCAAATGCATTTGCTATTTAAAAAGCGTAGCGCAACGCCTCAAAACGACTCTTGCGCCAAGCTGAAAATAGCAAATAAGTATTGCGCCGAGCCTTGCGCCACATTGTGCGGGTGTATGAAAGGGCCCTAAATTTTAACCAAACTGTTGGTTATGTCCATATTTTACCCATACTCGGGTTAAAACAAACCCTCCTATGCATCGATTTTGATATGTTGGACTAAAAACACAATAATCTTTTAGTGCAAATTTAGATATTACTACATGATATACTACAAATGGAATATGTTTTCTGGAACCAAATCTAATCATTTTCATAGCAATAACTATTAATAAAAATATCATTTCAAATGGGAAACATTTGCCTCTATTTTATGTTTTTAGAAAGTGCATTTTTGTAACCCACAATGTTACCAAACATGTAATGAGAGGAAATAATAATGCTATTAAATATGATGTTATTATTTTCCTTTGTTTATATATGTTCTGTACTTGATATTCATATAAATAATTTGCAATTGAGAAAATCAATAAAGTGTTTAAATTACTAAAAAAAGAAAGTGTTCAGATGGTCTGTTCGATTCATCACCGTCAGGTAGACTGTGAAATTTGACAAAAAAAGTTTGGTCAACTAACAACAGAGTAAACAACAATTAGCCTCTGTTATACACTTAAGCGAATACATCTAATTTTTTTCAAATCACATATTCCGTGAAACTGCAAAGTTTGGCTAGTCAGCCGTCATAACAAATTCTTATTATCCATTATTTGTGGGACAGATAGTCCGGCTCGAGGAAAACATAAGCATTTTAAGTTTTGCTACACTGTAAAACCCAACAGTCTCTGTAACGACGGGGTGGAGTGACAGAAACAACCGGAGGTAAGATCCAAAAGCAGGTTTATTCATAGTCAGGCAAGCGATGTTCAACACAGGTGCAAACAGGTATTTGGAGACAGTCCAGAATCACAGTCGAATACAGGCTAGAGGTCAGAAAGGCAGGCAAAGAGGCTAACGGTCGGTACACAAGATAACAAGACCGGGAAAACTAATGCTACTTGTAATGCTACTTAACAGTGAACAAGACTCGGCAAACTGGATGGGTCAAAGAGTGGCTTATGAATGGTGTGTTATCAGTCTCTGACAAGGTTCAGCTGGTGAGTGTAATCAAGCTAGATGTGTGAGCATGGGTGTCTGGGAGAAGTGCATGTATGAAAATGTAGTCCAGGAAAAGGCAGAAGTGTAGTCCATGGTTTGTTGTGAGAACCAGCGATCTCTGGGGAGCGATCGCTGGTTATGTTACAGTCACCTTTATCAAATGAAATGAGTGTAGTTAGCTTAAAACGTACTAAAAGTTAATTCTACTCATTTGAAAAGAGTTTTGAACTCAGTGTTGATGGTTATGAGTTAATTAAATACCTCATTACTTATTTTAACTCAAATAGTTTGTAGCAATCGGGTTCCTCTAATGGTTTGAGTTGTTTTAACTTATTGGGTTTTACAGTACTCAGCATGTAATATTTGTCACCTCAGGAAAAATTGAAAGAGCACTTCAATTTTATCGTTGGTTCTCTATACAGATCAGCCCAAATTAAATCTATCCATCATATAAAGCAATTGTGTGTCATCAGCAGACTTTAAACCTCTCACTTCACATGGATTTACAAAGCACCAAAGTTTGTTTAGAATGGACTTTCAGTGACAGGCCAGAAATCTCTCGGGTTTCATTAGAAATATCTTCAAATAAATGAAAGCCATACAGGTTTGGAACCACATGAGGGCGCGTAAAAAAAAATGAAGTAAATATTTTGAGCAAGCTAACCCTTTAAAGGGTCACGAAACACCAAAACACATTTTTTGAGCTGTTGACAGTCATATATGTGTCCCACACTGCTAAAAACACTATTAGGACACCTATATTTCACTAAAAAGTGTAAATTGGTTGTTTTTGCGTTATTTCAAGCAAATTCGTACTTCCGGTTTAAAACGAATTTTTGAAGCTGCGTCACGGCCATGACATAATAGCATGTATTCCAGCGTGCAGACTGGGCGTCTGTGCCAGAGTGAGTTTTATTACGTCTTACTGTGTGATGCATTAATGCATGAGTAAGGCTTGGTTCAAACCAATCAGCGCGCTCTATTGTGCAACTTCATTAATATTCATTACTGTCACAGTGTTTAGACGACAGAGACGCCACGTTGTGTTGGCAAAACAAGCGTGAAGTGTTGCTTTTATAGTTTGCTGCAGTTAAGTTTCGTTTTCATTTTCTCTCTGTGAGAGCTCAGCTGGAGTCACGTGTGGATTAACAGTGTACGCGACGCGCGACAACAATAACTTACGTGTCTAAGGAGGATTATTGTTTACCTGAGAGCTGTTCTCATCTGCAAACGCTGAGATCCGTATTCGCTTGTAGTCTTCTCTTCATAAAGACGCGGCTCTAGTTGCTGGTGATTGTCCTGTCTCTACAGATTTGATAAGTGAGCGACCAGTGCTCTTTGTTTATTCAGTTTGTTCGTATCGAACTAAGTTAACTATTGCACCGAGTGTAAACATGTTAGCACCACAACCAAACTTTAACCTCGTGTAGGGTTTTTACCGCATTTTGTGACCGGAATAACACACGTGGCTTTCTGACGCTACCTGCCGTGTGCAGCTAAGTTTCTGGGTAAATGCGGAGGTTTTTTTTCTCACATTCGCCGTGCGGTATCAAACATTGCACGAAAAATACACGCTTACAGCAGTTCCTCAAATCAAATATCTCGCTTGTCGCGAGGGACATGAATGAATTCCCTGAATGAAAGAGCCAAACTGCAGTTAAAGTCCACCATTTAATAATTTGGCAAATAATTCGACTACAGATGTCCATGTAGGTTAAACTTTCTCTAACTTTCACTTTCTCCTGTGTATGTATTTTGACTCTGAAACTCGCGCGTGCCCAAATAGACACTCCCACACCATCCCACTTTTCTTCTTTCGACACTCCCCCCTAAACAGAGCTGGACATGCCCACTTTTCTGACTTTTTCCAAAGTAGAGGTGTGAAAACACCCTGCTGAAACGAGGGGGTTTCATGGTCTTTTAAAGTGTCATTTCTGCTCTTCAGTTTTGTTATTATGTGTATGCTTCAAAACATGACGTAAAAACATTTTACTAATTCAAAGACTACAATGACTGTAATTGTTCATCTAAAGAATAACAATTGTAATTTTTGAAGAGTTCTACCTGAATCTAAGGATGCTCTCTCGGGGTTGGAGCGGCTGGGCGATGACGGCTCGGTCTCCACCTGGATCAGCTCCGTCTCCTCAGTCTTCTTCTTGCGCAGGCTGCTCTTGGAGAAGCCATTTTTGCGAGATCCTCGAGGACTCCGTCTGTCCCAGCTCCATCTCCTCTCGCACGGCTCACTCAGATCCACCAGATCCAGTGTCGTGGACAACACTGAAACATTGGATTTGAAATTAAATATTACCAACATACGGCTAGCTCATACAAACATAACAGTTCATACACTGTAAAAAAATGACTGAGCCAATTAGTTATGACAACTCAGTATTTGGAGTTATCTGGATTGAATGCTTTGACATACAGTAACTTGTATATCAAAGTTTTACTTTACTTTGTTTTTACAGTTTTTAGATGGAAAAAACGAGTCAGCTGAACGCATACTCGTTGATGATATACATACATATATATTAGTTACCTGCTTCAAACATGAGATCTAGATTTTTATTTATTTTATTTATTATAATACTTTTAACTAAATTTATATTTGTTTACATTTAGATGACCACAGACAATGAACATCAGTATTCCAGGCTCATTGCCGATACGTACCCAGGTGTACATTACTAGGGACAGCGAAATACATAACCGGAGGTACGTCTGCTCGCAGTTTTTGTTTTTGCTAATCCCCCAGAGGCCGCTGTGTACACTTTTTGATGATCTCAAATTACTCATTGCGCATTCTCTTCTCGCGTAAATCCACCAGAGGGCGCAATATACACAGGCGACTAGGCCAGCTTGCTGTCAACTGACTGACTGACCCACTTAACCCCTTTATTAATCAGGGGACGCCACAGTGGAATGGACTGCCAACTTATCCAGCATATGTTTCACGCAGTGGATGCCCTTCCAGCTGCAACCCAACACTGGAAAACATCCATATACCCTTGTATCCACACACTTATGCTGCTTTCACAACGTCAAGCGCAAGTGATTTACATGTTAAGTCAATGCAAACATGCGAATACGCGCGAATGGCGGGGCGCGAATGACGCTAATTGCGCGAGTGGCATGGTGCGAATGGCACGATACGCGTGAATGTCGCGGTGCGAATTGAGCGTTTTGCGTTTGACGCGCTTAACGCAAGTTTTGCGCGAATCACTTGAGTTGAAAAATCTGAACTTCAGCAGACATTCGCGCCGTGTTAATCAATCTGGGGGCGTGATTGTGACGTATCACCAGTTCCCGGTGTCCCGGGGGAAATCCTCTAGCCAACACCGACAACAGTTCATCAATCTGGGCTTGGCTCAGTCAGGAGCACCGCTGAAAGCCTCCATCATCCAGGTTCAGTTTCTGGAGGAGTTTATGAGCTCACAGAGCTGGATGCACCTCTGAAAGGATGTAGTGGACTCAGACACGACCCTAAACGTATCGTTGGTTGTTTTTCAGCCTTCAAAAAGCACATAAACACTGTTATTTTCTTCATAAAATCCATGTTAGCCATTTAGCAATAAAGCTAGATTCACCGGCCGGACAGAAGCCCTGCCCATCACGCGAATCCGTGTCTGTCCTGAAGTGAATTTGACGTGTGAAAGAAGTGGATTTGACGCATGAATGAAGCGAGTAAACTCAAATGTTCACGCGGCTATTTATGCGCGAATAGCCCGATTTATCCGCGCATTCCGCGTCTGGTGTGAACGCAGCATTACACTATGGCCAATTTAGCTCACCCAATTCACCTATACTACATGTCTTTGAACTGTGGGGGAAACCGGAGAACCTGGAGAAACATCAGGAGAACATGCAAACTCCACACAGAAATGCTAAACGACCCAGCTGGAGCTCAAACCAGCCACCCTCTTGCTGTGAGGTGATCATGCTACCCACTGCGTCACCTTGACGCTCGTAATTATAATATATTTTATTATAAAACCTTTTAAAAAGAATGAGTATTAGAGCTGTTGAGCCCCATGGCTGTAATTATAAATAATTGGGCCCCCATATAACTAAATCCGCCCCAGGACGCAGGGTAAAATGGCCAAAAAGCCAACTGAGAAGTCCATTATGATGAATTGTGGGACAGAGAAGGAGAACAGATGACAGAGCAGTAACTATGGAGAACCTGCTGTGTTGGAGGTGACGGCTCGTGTGGCTCCATCAGTCTTGCTCTCGCTCTGGAAGTCATCGATAGAAGGGCTCAGTAAGGGTCGACTCTCTTGCTGCTCACTACACAACTGAAACACACAACCAAAACACACATTTCACTCAAAACTGCATACACTTACACAACATATTCGTCTTATTTGTTGTGCACATTTGAAGACAAAGTTTTTTGTCCTCCTGTGAAGTTTCAATTCTTTTTCAAAAATTTCTGTTTTTAACAACGCATCTTAATAGCTAATTTCTAATAACTGATTTGCTTTGACTTTACCATGATGACAGTACATAATATTTTACATTATACTCATGCAATTTAAAAGCTCAACTACCACACCACATCAGAAAATGCTTGGACAGCATGAAAAAACACACACACAAAAAAAAGTAGTGATTTCTAAATTACTTTGACTTGTATTATTTAAAGGTGCAGTAGGTGATTGTTGAAGCAATTTTTGTTGTGCTGGTAAATGAATTTTTATATTTTGGTTAAGGAATAAAACTAAAAAATGTTCATCCAGTTAAATAGAGTCGGACCGACATCTCTCATAATTCCGATAAGTAACCCAATCTGTCTGTCAGCCAATGCAGATTTGAACAACTGCGCAGCCGTTTGTACACAGCTCCGCCGACCGACGCGCATTCACGAGAGAGTGAAGTGGATTTTATACTCTTTGAAGTGTGAAGTTAATATATATATTCAAATTGTATGTGTATAATCTGCTTGTAGACTTGCATACCATTAGAAGAATTCCCAATCACAAGAAATGGATAAGTTATATAGTTATCAGGTTTGGGTCAGGGGTTAACCTAGATGGAATTTGGGGTCAATGGTTAAACTAGATTGGTCTTGTGTGATATATGTAGAAATAAGGGAAAAACAGATGACGGGTGGAATTTGGAGTCAAGGGTTAAACTAGATTGGTCTTGTGTGATATATGTAGAAATAAGGGAAAAACAGATGACAGAGGTGGAATTTGGAGTCAAGGGTTAAACTAGGAGGGATCTTGTGTGACATATGTACAACAACGGAAAAAACAGAGTATTTAAGCAGGCTTGAATTTGAGTGAGACAGAATTTTTCAGACAGAGATGCTACTGGGGGTCTCCTGAAAGTTCTCCTTTGTTGTCGACAATAAAGTATATTCTTCTGATATTCATAACCTCCAGACTGAGTTTGATTGAGTAAGAGAAAAACCAAGAAAACCACTACAAGAGCACACGCGCGATCGGTAAAAACCTGCTGAATCAAAATTTTTTAAAAACCTGAATCATTATTGGAGTTACCTTTGCACGCTGGAGAAAGGATAACACAATGACTGAAGGATTTCTCTTAGACAGGTAATGTTCTGTTTTAAAACTGTTTTGGCTTCACGCAAAGCTGATGAAACGTTAGATGTTGTTGTTACAAATGGGTTATATCTTCACAGAAGTGTTGTTCAGCCACAAAATCATACAATGAAAGATTGATAAGACTATTTTCAGTTTCATAAGAGACTTTTTACAGCATCAATAATGTAGATTTTAATTAGTTTAACAGCAAAACACAAGTAAATAGCGCTATTCCGCCTAGTCTCTCCCTATATTGTTTACCATGCAACTCTAATATTCACTCTGAAATAGCATGTCAGTTTGGCTTGCACGCCGCCGGACAAACACTAGTCACTTTTAACACATGAGAGAGGGTTCTTTTGCTGTGCTCGTGTTTAAGGAGGCGTGGCTCTAGACGCCAGGGGAGGGACTGTGATTCAGAGATTTATGCTAAGCTGTTAGCATTGTGGAAGATCACCTACTTCACCTTTAATGTGTTCCCTGTAATTTCTTTTTAATAAACACATATTACAATGTTGGTTCTTGCAGCACATTTCAAAAAAGTAGGAACAGTAAAGCGTTTATCACTTTGTAATGTTGCTGTTCCTTTTCACAACACTTAAAAGATATTTAGGGACTGAAGACCCCAAGTGATGAAGAGTTTCAGGTGTATTTTGGCCCATTCTTCATGCAAACAATTCTTAAGGTGGGCAACAGTACAGGATCTTCGTTGTCGCATTTTGCCATTCAAAATGCGCCACAGATTCTCTGTTGGAGACAGGTTGGGACTGCAGGCAGGCCAGTCAAGTACCTGTATCCTCTTCCTCTGCAGCCAGGACTTTGTAATGTGTGCAGAATATGGTTTTGCATTGTCTTGATAAAATATGCATGGGCGTCTCTAGAAAAGGGAGCATATTGTGCTCCAAAATCTGTATGTTCTTTCCAGCATTAATGGTGCCATCACAGAAGTGCAAGTTACATATGCCAAAAACACTGACATACCATGACAGACCCTGGCTTTTAGACCTGTTGATCCTTTTTTCGCACACAGCATCCATTTCTCCCAAAAAAATACCTGAAATTCTGATTCATTTGACCACAGGACACATTTCCACAGAGTGATGGTCTATCCCAGAGGTCTGAGAGAAATCCAAAGCACTTCTGGACACTGTTAACATAGGGGTTTCTTTTGGCACAGCAGAGTTTTAACTGGCATTTGTAACTACATATTGTGATACTTGACAAAGGTTTGTCAAAGTAGTCCTGAGCCAATGTGGAGATATTGCTTATAAATGAATGAGGAGCCTTATTGCAGTGTCGTCTGAGGGATCGGAGATCACGGTAGTTCAGCTATAAAAAAATTCACCCCCCTCACAGTTGTCATGAAGGGTAATATTAGTTATAAACAGCAAAATCGTTCTTTGCTCCAGGCTGCAAACACCTTTTTTTTCTGCTGTAAAGTTGGCCATTTTAACAGTGGACTCAACAGAAATGTGCTCTGTTCTGGAGCCAGAACTAGTGGAATTTCGATGAATTGCAGTTTCAGTAACTTCCGTATTCGCTTCACAAGGGAGAGCGGTAGGTTGCCGCTTGGGATGAACACACACTAAATCCAAGCAACGAACACATGATAACAAGAGAAACAAACACCCCACAATTGTATTAATCTCAAGGGGAAACAGGAAACAAACAAATCTAAACTAAAAGTTCTCAAAAATTAGACAGAAGATGACAAACAATATGAATTATACGAGTTCATTTGTCTATGGTGTAGCAGGTTGTGACACAAATTGTGACACAAATTACTTTGGAAATAACACAATGGTTCAATTTATAGCTGTCCAGAATCGCTAAATTAGAAAACAACTGCCCTTGACACAGGTTAGCAATGTGAGTGCCCTTCACTTCATAACACAGACGCCATAAATCACATATATGAAGGTGAGCACGAGTGAAGCCAGTTATATGGCTTGCTAACGGCTTCTTGGTAATGTACAAATAACACATGATTCAAGAGCTATGTCCTGAAATCCTGCAAGAACCAAACTCATTTTTAAAAACCTAGTCAATATTATTCAACCTCCTGTTTTTTTTTTTGTTTTTTTTTGTTTTTTCAAATGATGTTTAACAGAACAAGACATTTTTTCCAGTATTTCCTATAATATTTTTTCTTCTGGAGAAAGTCTTATTTGTTTTATTTTGGCAAGAATAAATGCAGTTTTAAAATTTTTAAAAACATTTTAAGGACATTATTATTAGCCCCCTTAAGCAATATTTTTTTTTATTGTGTACAGAACAAACCATCATTATACAATGACTTGCCTTATTACCCTAACTTGCCTAATTAACCTAGTTAAGCCTTTAAATGTCACTTTAATCTGAATACTAGTCATCATTTACTGTCATCATGGCAAAGATAAAATAAATCAGTTATTAGAAATGAGTTATTAAAACTATCAGGTTTAGAAATGTGTTGAAAAAATCTTCTTTCTGTTAAATAGAAATTGGGAAAAAATATACAGGAGGCTAATAATTCTGACTTCAACTGTATGTGTATGTATAATCCTTTACCATCTCTGGGTTTCAACCGCTCTTTTAAATCACATAAGTTTACCATCCCCCGCCCTCTTAAAATCCATTTCGCAGTTGTTTATCACCCTAAGGGAAGCTTGGAAACTTCTCGTAGGAGTTGATTAGGTCGCTCTCAACCTTCCCTGAGGATTGCACTCCTCTGATGGTGCTCTGAGATTCCAACATTATCCACCTAGATTATTATCCACACAGAAAGCTGATATCTGCCAATATAGTGCTCTGTTTGTTAACAGATTTGTTAAATGGTAAAATAAGGTGAATTAAAAAAACATGAGGAACATTCTGGATCTGTTTCTTTGCTTTTCTTTATTCTTTTTTTATTTATTATAGAAGTATCGGATCAGGTTTTGGTATCAGTAGATACCAGCTAGCTGGGTATCGGATAGCTCGGTATGAGCAGCTAGCTCTCTGCAACTCTTGCATGGTCGCCCACTGAAGCTGCGCCCGGTCAGTACCTGTCACGGTTGCAGGTTTGTGCGCTTTTCAGGAGTGTATGTTTGATCACGTGGGTTTGTTTTGTTTTGGTTGTCCATGTGTATTTGTTATGCTCACGTGATATGACGACACTCAGCTGGGCTGATTACACGCCAGCTGAAGCTCATTATTAGGCCTATAACAGAGCGACCAACAACCGCAGGCGCTGGTGGTGTCACCTGCGGAGTTGGTGCAGTCTCAGCCTGTGCAGCTCCAGTGATCAACTGTTGGACTTCAGAAGTAAGTAATGAAACTTGGCCGACCAGAGCCTGGATCGCCTGTGACGTGGTGGCCAAAGCCTCATCCTGTCAGTCTATCCTGGCGTTGCTGTGCAAGACGAACTCAGAGATCTGAAATGCACTCGCTGGATCCATAATAAGGTCAGTTCGTTCTGTGACGTTCAACAAAAATAAGAGTCAAAGAGGATCCAGATGCGAGTGATGAAGCTTATTTGACCAAGTCAAAATAAACAAATAATGAAAGTGACAGGCTAGGACAGGGGTCGGCAACCCAAAATGTTGAAAGAGCCATAATGGACCAAAAAAAACAAAAACAAATATGTCTGGAGCCGCAAAAAATTCAAAGCCTTATATAAGCCTTATAATGATGGCAACACATGCTGTATGTATTTATATTAGCTATATTAGCCTACTATAAAAATGACTTTGTTAGCTACAAATACATACTGAGCCTTCATGATT